GAGGAGCGGATAGATGGGAGAGAAGATGAACAGGTTGTGTCAGGTCAAGGAGGCAGGGATGAGAGGGAGGGTGGGGTGTGGGATGAGGCCTGGGGTGGGGAGATTTTAAAACTGGTGAATTCCATGTTTAGGCTATTGGGCTGTAGGCTCCCGAGAGAGAATATGAGGTGCTGCTCCTCCAGTTTGCAGGTGGTGTCATTGTGACACTGGAGGAGGCCCAGGAGTGGGAGGGGGAGTTAAAATGGCTTGTGACCAAATAGTGTTGTTGTTTATTGCGTACAGAGCATAGATGCTCTACAGTCTCTGAGTCTACGCTTGGTCCCACCGATGTAGAGGAGGCCACATCGGGAGCAGCGAATACAGTAAACCATGTTAACGGATGTGCAGGTGAACATCTGTCTAATATGAAAGGTTTGCTTTGGGCCTTGAATGGAGGTGAGGATGGAGGTGCAGGGGCAGGTGTAGCAGATCAAATTTGCAATGGGGGTTCTGAAATAGGCACTGAACATAGACCCCATGTTTTCACCCATTAAACTGATACTCACTCTGCCCACACTGGGCATTGTCCCAGCAACTTTCATTTTCCATTTCCATTTCCATTTCCTGACTTGAGAATGGCAAATGATGGCAGGGAGAGCAGTGCACAAGGGAAAAACCGAGATCTTCTGATTGTGCCCAGCCCAAACAGATGACCAACTGTGACCAAGCCCCTGGATAGAGTGCACGCTCTAGTACTGGGAACTCCCAACAAACAGCAGCTCCCTGCTTTACTGGACTGATGTATACCCCTCACCAATTTCCAACATGGCCGTTTGGGTGAATAAACATGCAACATGTTTGTTAGATGTTAGATTGATGTCTTGGTGTGTACCAAAAAGCAAGATATCCCCCCGAAACAGATTCTTGCTGGCAAACAGCCTGTCTGTGTGTCCGCACAAAACAGCACATGAATACAGCAATATAGAGGGCCTTTAGGCTTCCGCTGAAGGGCCAATGTGCTAACAGGAATGGTACAACAAGGTAAGGCAAGGGAAGGATGCTGCCAGCAATGCAGCGAGGTACCAAGTGGGCGAGCTCTAAGACAGCAAAGGAACTGCTGAAGATGCAGTTTGGTCCAAACTGTGAGCTGGTTGCCTTCCCCTGAGTGTAAACCATTCTTGCAGCAAGTTCTCAATGTTAGATCTTGGTGCACTTTGCAATGCAGGTCTGTACATCTTAAGCATCCTCCTATCATTATGGATAGATGCCATAATTGTCATAAGCGGTTGGCAAACATTGCATATCAATGTCCATCGATGAAGGATGAGTATGGTTTGTGACCATGGGTCATGTTGAGGTGAGCAATGCAAGGCTAATCTCGATGTCTATGTTTAGTTTGCTTGGTGAAGTTTGTAAAATAGAAAGCAGCATATCAATGACATGCGATGTACACTTAACAAGGTGTTCAGCAAACAATATTCCCCCTTCATTTGCAATTCACTGCTGCATGGTAGGAAACTTACCCTGACACATAGCAAACGTATAAAAGATGCAGCAAGTTGCTCCTCTGATTCTGCCTTTTCATTCTGGGATGCTGTTTTACTGTCCAATAACTAGTTTAAAACATTATTACCCAGTGCTGTAATATGGAATCTCTGTTATGCATGTACTATCTAGTGACATACATTGTCTTACCCTTGACAAATGTTTGGAGAAGCAGTCAGGAGAGATAAGGCCTGATTGTTAATCAACAAACTGGTTGTCTTGTACAAAATCTATGTATGAACAATGGGCAGGATCAATAGTTTCGTCTTTGTTCTTTAGAACAATGTACCTAGATCATCTACCTACCTTTTTGAAAAGGTTTCAATCTGCCTAGACTCAGTCTTACCAAATGATTCGCCCCTATGGAATTCAACCTGGAAAGTGTGAAGAATACACTTGGGAAGGACAAACAAGGCAAGGGACAACACTGTGAATAGTTGCATCCTGGAAAGTGCTGAGGATCAGAGGCATCTTAGTGTGCATATCCACTGCCCTGAAGGTAGCAGGGCAAGTAGATAAGAAAGTACATGGGATCCTAGGTTTTATTAGCCAAGGCATAGAATACAAAGCAAGGATGTTGTGTTGTAACTGCATGCAATGCTGGAGTAATAACTGGAGTATTGCATGCATGTTTGGTCATCACATTATAGGAAGGATGAGATAGCACTAGAGAGAGTGCAGAGGAGCCTTACAAATTTGCTGCCTGGGCTGGAGGGTCTGACCTATGAGGAATGACTGGATAAACTGGTGTTGTTTTCCTTGAAATAATGAAGGTTGAGAGGGAACCTGAAAGAGTTGAATACGATTATAAGTAGGTAGGATGAATAGAATGGTCAATTTTTCCATTCGGGAAGGGGGCACAGGTTTAACATCAGAGTTAGAAGCCAAAGAAGAGAGGTAAGGAGAAATATTTTCACCCGGAGAGTGGTGGGAGTTTGGAATTCACTGCGTGAAAGGATGGTTGAGTCAGAAACTTTTGGAACATTTAAGCAGTATTCAAATATCATTGCATTTCCATAGCAGCCAAGGTATAGGCCAAGAGTTGGCAAATGGGAAATATGTAGCCAGCTCTATGCTGATGGGCCACCTTGAGCAGAATGAGTCTCTTCTGTGCTATAAACACCCATGAGTATGTTTTTCTTCCATATCTTTCAAATGGATTATATGATTTGTAGCTTTTCACAACTACCTCTTCATTTAAAGTCAAGAAGTTATCATAACGATGGCTACACCAATGAAAGCGAGGACTTGTCTCTTTAACTATCATCATAGGATCTTTAATATTTATATTAATAAATAAATGGGTTTTCTGCTTATCACCTTATGTCATGACATCACAACCTCTGAATAAAGATCACTTTTTCAGTATTACAAGGAAGAATTAATTTCAAGTCATCTTGACACGTGTGAGAGAACAATTGGCCAAGCCATCCTCTAACACCACACTTATCTTCCTTCTTTGTATGTGAGAGCCACAGGTCTTTTCTATCTCATGATACAACCAATGATCTCAGGTGAATTGAGCCCTGCAGCAAAATGTTTTACCTGAAATGTTTGACTAATCTACTCAATCAAGTCCAAATATATTAATGGGCCTTCTAATGACAATCAATGTCTTCGTGTAGCAACACATTTTTAACAATTTTGTTTTTAAAATATTTTCAAAATTTGACACATCCTTTGGCCCAGGTTATATCTACCATTTTGCTGAGAGACATTATCTAATATCATTGGCAAAAACTAAACTATTCTGACGCAAGTGCTTTATTTTATTGGCCAAAAAATGCAAATAACACATCTTTCTACATATATTTCCGCAGGACTTGCTACATATATTGTGCAATGTTGATATCTGAACCATACACTTTGGGATTAATCATAGAGAAAATATTAAATTATTTTCATTTTGAACATTTATACTAGATCAGAGCAAGTATTTCCATTTTGCCTTTCACATCAATAGTTTCATATATTTGACAAATTAGCAAGAGAAAGCATAAAGCCAGCCAAACACTTTTCCTTGTAAATGCTGTGGTCTATTTTACATGGATTAGTTCTGGAGTAATTACACATTTAATTTGGTTATGTTAAACTTTGCTTCCACTGATACACTGGATTCCTGCAACTTTAAGTTAACATATGATCATCTAAACATTTGGAGGGACATTACGAGGCACTGTTACATTGCAATAACATGTTACAGTAGGGTAGGGTGGGATAGTGCTAGTCACTAAATATATCAGCCTTGGCAGTAAGCCTGAGAAATTGTGTATGTACATAAAGATTTTTATGAAAAAAAGCATAGTTTTGCAATTAGAAAAATGCTCATGTCTAATCAGCACACTGTCAGGCATTTGCCAATGGATTACAATGCTGGGCAGCAGGAAACCACCCAGTAGGAACTGAAGGGTCATGATAGGGTGAGGAAAGTTAGTTTAATGGGGGGTCAACAACAGTAGGACAGGAGATTGAAGCTCTCCTTGAAGGGCTTGGAAGATCTCACCTGCTCATTTCAAAAAAATGGATTTACCCTTTGGCAGCTTGGTCTTTCAGAGGAGCCATTCTGTACAGGCTTCTGGTTCAAATAGTAAATGACATTGCTGGAGCTCAATTGCTCTGCTTAGATTTATGGGGACCTGTCCTTTCTTCCTGGTCAGAAACGCATGTTAAAATCAGAACCTGTGGGACTTTGTGAATGAGTTTCATTGATAATTTTAAACTATCTACCTACTGAATTTAGAGATAAGAAGGCTGCACTGAAGTTGCCTCTTATGTGCTGAGTGTAGTGCCTCATGAAAATGAGCAATTGAGAAGACTGTACTGTTTTATTTAGAGCTATTGGACAAACCCAACACCATAAAACATGGCTTCATCATTACAGTGATCACACTTCAAAGGCAATTATTGTGAGGACTTGTATAAGTGCAAAACTTTCTTTTGTTGAGTGTCCTTATGTTAGGGAAGGATTGTATCTATTAAGCCCTGTTAGAAAGTGCAAGCTTGTGGATATGTGGGCTAGATTCTCATGTTAAGGGCTGGAATTGAGACATGAAACTAATCTGACCATTGCAATCCCACCTCTGTTTCAAACTACCTGAAGGCAGGCCCTTCCAGGGGTCAAGGCCTAAAAGACCTTCATATGGACCTGCTTGTAGAGACAGAGTGAAGACATGCAGTGTTCTGGGCAAGCACATTAAAATACCCACTTTCATGTTCCCAAAAGGAATTCAGACTTACAGTGGTTTCATTGCAATTATTGGCTTATTCATTTCAGCATTCTGTCGACTTTAAACACCCCCCCTACCTTCACCCACTGATCTTCTTCCTCAGACACTCCTTCATCCTCCTCACCCATCATCCATTTTATGAACCAAAGTCACAAGTCCTATTGTAACAGTTGAAAGTCAGTGAATGGCACTCGAATCTCCCTGAGTAAACAAGCAGACTTCAAATAATTTTTAAACAATGTCACATACTTGTAAAAGTTTCAGGCAGTTGGATTGCAGCCAGGAGTCCATAAAACTCCACCAGTAGACAAACCGACTGCTATTTAGCAGATGCCTAGTCTGAAATCATAATAGCAAAAGGAGAAAGATTAAACATTTACATATTGTTATAATACTAGGCAACACTTTCAATAGCATGAAATGAAGTCCATTTTTTTTATCAATTAGACTTTGTTAAACATTATTTTGTTAGTTGATAGAAATAGCAATCTGACAAACACATTGAGATAGTTTATTTCTCAATCCTGTAATATATCAGATGAATGAACATATACATATCATGCTACAGCATTTGATGATTAATTGTAAATGAGGTAAAAACCATTTTAATTACCTTTTAATCACTCCTACCTCCAATCCATAGATCATGACTTTTTGCAGGTAGTGTGAAATCCAACAACTGTAGCAATTTCAAACAAAAGAGGAATGGGGTGTGTGGAAATATGATTTTACTGAGTCCACAGTATTGTAAGTTGCCTCAGTCATAGGATGGGCTATGTTTCAGGACCTACTTCCTTCCCTGCCCTTCTGAAAATGACCAAGGGTAGAAACAGTGCCAGAGTACTGGTCTGCCAATGTGGGGGCCATTTTTCTCCTTGTCTCACTTGGGTTGTCTCCAATGGAGACCATGAAAGTTTTACCTTGTGTGAAGTGACATGTGGGCTTGGTTCATATGCTGCATCATTCACTGGTGTGTTCACATTGGATTCTGAGCAGGTTACAGTTCAGGCTGAAAATGACCAAAGAGCTTGTCAAAGCCAGGAACACAAAATACACAGCTTCAGGAGCATTTTGTCTGTCTATTTCCTGCCAATATTCTGCTCGATGGATAGGCTGGTGGGAGAGCAGTGAGGTTCAGCCATCAAAGGTTACTGCTCTGTACCGAGGGGATGGTTCCTAGAAATCAAGAGAATGATAAGGCATCCACTTTCAGGATCATGGAGAAGTTGGCAAACATTAACCTTTCAAATTTGCAATCAGAAGGGGGCAGGACTGCCATTGAGAGGAATGAGGAATGGGGAGAGCCCTACAGTCAGGAGGGGGTAGCAATCAGTAAATGTTAGATGGGAGTGGTTGACAAATGTGAGATGGAATGGGTCAGCAGATGGGAGATGGGAGAGTTTGGTGACTGGAAGTGGGGAGAGATCAGTGAATAAAACAAGGGAGTGTTAACTGAATGAGAGAGAGGGGAGGTCAGCAACTGTAAGAGTGAGGAACCATTGAATGGGAGAGAGGAGAGGCTGACATTCAGAAAGGAAAGGTTTGCAGTTGTGAGAGAAAGAAATCAATGAGTGGTAGGTGAGAAAGACCAGAAGGAAGACATGTGGGAGAAAGCAAACAGACAGGATTGGAAAGGGCTCAGCAACTGGAAAGGAGAAATATCAGTGTTCATTAGGTGGAGATGTTGGTGTTTTCCATGGGAAACAGGTTGGGAATCAGATTTGGGAGAAATCAGTGACTTGGAGAAGGGACAGGCCTGCAGGAGAAGGGAAGGACTGGACTATGATGAGGGTGGGTGAGGGACTTATGATCAGGAGGGTCAGATTTTGGCAATTTGAAAGAGGGTACACTATGTGATCAGAAATGGAGAGTGGTCAGTGAACAGTAGAAGGAGTGAGGAGGTGAAGAAGCTTACACTTGAACAGAACAGAAGTCAGGAATCAGTGAGAGGTGGGATCAATGACAAAAAGGGGGAGGGTTCTGGTGACTGTGATGAGTGTTTGGTGATTAGGGAAATGTTCAGTGATTGGCAGAATGTGAGGATAATGAAGAGGGCTTTGTTGATGATCCTAAATCAAACTCTCCTTCTTTTGTTGGTCACAGAGAATGACCAAAGCTGCATTCCAGCAGAAAATTGTGAACCAGGCTCTCCATTACATTCTGTGAATCCAGTTTAGTTATATTAATTAACTGCCCGACCTCTCCAAGGCAGGACATTCAACTTCTGCTGTAAAGAAAATGTGGGGGACATACACAGCATCTTGAAATCATGTTTTGTGCATTTAACTGCTCACCATCAGTCTCTGACCAGCGTCAATGCAACAGCATAAGGGAGAGGGTGGGTTAACTAATGGGCCCAGTTCTGGAAGTACTGCTGAAGGCAAAATAGAGGAGATTGGTGACAGGAAAAAGGACATGAGGGAAGGCTTAGGTGTTGACTGTGAACAAAGAAATAATCACCTTCCAGTGGGCAAGAAAGAGTTAAGGGAAGGGTTAAATTGTAAATATGTTAATGCATGGTGTAGTGAACAAAACTGGGGAGCTGGAAGCAGAAATTGCTCCAGAGGGATATGACATAGTAACATTGACAGAAACATGGCTTCAGCCAGAACAGGATTGAATAGTTAACATCCTGGGTTATAAGGATTTTAGTAGAAACAGATGGGTAAAAAGAGGAGGTGTAACAGTCTTGGTCAAAGTCAATATCAATGCCCTTGAACAGGACACAGTTCCTGAATTAGAATCTATATTGTTGGAGGTGAGAAACAGGAAAGGAGCAGTGAACTTGTTGTTTATTTATTATAGACCTCCAAATAGTGGGGAGGAAGTAGGGGAGAGCATTTCTAGACAGATTATGGAAATCTGCAGGACAAATAGGGCTGTGATAATTGGTGATTTCAATTGCCCTAGTGTAGGCAGGGGAAAACGCAGTGCACAGAAGTGAAGAAATTCCTGCTATGTGTGCAGGAGAACTTTCTGGAACAGTACACTTCCAGTCTTACTAGGGAGGGAGCTGTGTTGGATCTGATCTGAGGAAATGATACAGGCCAGTTGAGAACATTAGAGTAGGGGAGAATTTAGGAAATAGCGATCATAATATAATAAGATGCAATATTAAGTTGGAAAAAGAATAAAAATTAGTCAAGGGATAAGACCCCAGAGTGGAAAGGGGCAGATTATAGGGGTCTAAAAATTGAACAGGAGCAGGTTGATTCGAATCACATTTTGGTGGCTAAAACAGTGGATAAAAAATTTCAAAAGAAAAATGAATAGATTGCCAATGAGAAATAAATACAAGGTATCCAAACCTGGTGTGCCCTGAATGACTAAGGATATCGATGGGAAAATAATGAAGAAAAAGGAGGCATATGATGCAAGCTGGACTGGTAAGAAATCAGAAAGAATATCTAAATGCAGGAGAGAGGCTAAGGCTGGAATACAGAAGGCTAAGAGGAAGCATGGGGAAAGGATGGCAGGCTGTGCTAAAACACAAAGTAAAACGTTATTCAAATGTGTTAAAAATAAAAGCTGAGTGAAGGCTAGAGTGACACTCATAAGGAACAAGCAGGGTAATCTGCTCACTGAAACAAAAAGTATGGCAGAGGTACTAAATGAGTACTTTACTTTGGTCTTTACTAAATTTGAAGATGGTGTCAATGGCCTATTGTGTGTGTGGGGAAACTGAGCAGTATACTGATAGATAAAGAAGAGGAGCTAAACATGCTGGCAGCACTCCAGGCAGAGAAGTCACCAGGCCCAGGTGGGATGCATCCTAGATTGCCGAGCGAGGTAAGGGACCAAATTGTGCGTCCAACACAGAAATTCTTCAGGCTTCTCTGAACACAAGATTAGTCCTGGGGAACTGGAGGATTGCAAATGTGATGACGTTTTTTAAGAAAGGGGCAAAGGTTAACCCAAGCAATTATAGACCTATCAACTTGACATCAACAGTGGGAATGAAACAAAGAACTGTGGATGCTGAAGATCTGAAGCTAAAACAGAAATTGTTGGAGAAACTCAGCAGGTCATGCAGCATCTGTGAAGAGAAAACAGTTAATATTTTGAGTCTGGTGCTTCTTCATCGCAACATCAATAGTGGGAAAACTAATGGAAGCCAAAATATGGGATAAGGTAAACATACACTTAGAGGAAAATAAATTAATATGAGACAGTCTACATGGCTTTATCAAGGACAGGTCTTATGCGACAAATTTAATTGAATTCTTCAACATGGTAAAATAGGCCATGGACGAGGGTATTGCAGTGAGTGTTGTATATTTGGATTTTCAGAAATCATTTGATACTATGGCCTATGGAATGTTGGTTAGCAAATTAGAAATGTTTGGGATTAATGGGTTCTTAGCAGCTTGGATTAGAAGTTGGCTAAAATATAGGAAATGGAGGGTAGGTATAGATGGACATTTCTCAGATTGGAGACGAGCTGAAAGTAGTGAAAGTACTTGGTGTTGGAACCTTTGTTTTTTCTAATTTATGTAAATTATTTGGAAATGAGTGTTGAGGGCAAAATCTCTAAGTCTGTAGAAGGTAATAAGCTAGGGAGAATGGTGAATTGTGGGGATGACACTGAGCAACTTCAGAGGGACATTGACAATTTGGCCAAATGGGTAGACACCTGGCATATGATTCTCAATGTAGGGAAATGTGAGTTATTGCATTTTGGTGGAAGAAACACAGAGAAGCAATACAGGCTCAGTGGTACAACTTTGAGGGGAGTACGGGAGCAGAGGGACCTCAGGGAGCATGTGCATGATGCTCTGAAGGTGATTGGGCAAATGGAAACAGTTGTTAAGAAGATTTATAGGATCCTTGGGTTTACAAATAGAGGCACAGAGTATAAAAGCAAGGAAGTGATGCTACACCTCTACAAATCATTGGTCAGACCATATTTCAGGTATTGTGTTCAGTTCTGGGCACCTTATTAAAAGAAGGATGTTAAAGCTCTGGAGAGAATTCAAAGGAGATTGACCCAGAATGATACCAAGAATGAAGTATTTTAGATAGAAGGAAAGTTTAGAGACATTGGGTTTATTGTCCTTGGAGCAGAGAAGATTAAGAGGTGATGCCCTATTGAGATGTTCAAAATTATGAACAACTTTGACAGGAAAGAGGAGGAAATTCTGTTTCCAGTAGTTGGTATGTCAATAACTAGGGGTCAAAATTTCAAGATTGTCAGCGAGAGAGCTAGGAGTGAGATGAAAAGAACTTTCCTTACTCAGAGAGTTGTTAAAATTTGGAATGCACTGTTTGGGAGAGTGCTGGAGGCAGATTCCAAAGGAGATTTCAAAAGACAACTGGATATATATGTGAAAGAGATGGAATTAGAGGGCTACGGAGATGGGGCTGAAGAAAGGGACTGGCTGGGTGGCTCTTTCAGGAGCCAGTTACAGACATGTTGAACTGCCACAGTCTGTACTGTAAAAGTCTATGAGTCTATAATGGACAAGCGGGTGGATGATAATATTTAGGTCTAATTCTCTAACCCTATTCATGAAAACTGCCTTACTCAGATGTCCATTCTCCATGTGGATATTGCCTGGACAATGAGTGATGGCAGACTATTCAACTACATCAACATCACAGTCAAACCTGATTTTTGGATTCTCTCAAAACATTCATGTTGATGCAATATCTAACAGGAATCATTAAATGGCCTCCTTTTTAATCTGACTGCAGGGAATTAACACTGCAACATTATTCCCAATCAGTGTAAAACAAAATTTGAAGCATAAATATTATCAGCTCTAGAAAGTGAACTGAACAATACAGGAAACCAGATAAGGAAACAAGGAACAATGCCATGAGCCAATGCACTCAAAATATGCCAGCCTCCAGAATTTATGTTGTCAGACGTTCCATGTAAATTACAGAGGGTCACATTTGTGATATGTGATAATAATGTGTGTCTTCACGCGTACAGATACAATTTTTCTGTCTGTTACTTTGATAAGTTGTGAAACTAATTTCAGGAAATTTTGTTCTCAACACAGAACCACATCTGCTGTGACATGCAGCAGCAATTTAATCATATGTTTTTGAGTTTACATTTATTGTAATTGGGCAAAAACAAACCAAGTGAAGCATACATTGGCTTCCAGATGCATTCTTTCAGGAAGTGGAACTTCTTTAAATGATCCTTTACATTTTATGAATGACTGGGATAGCAGAGGGACACAAAATAGTGTTGGTAATTAATAAATAGTAATGAACAAA